TCGTCTATTGCCGATGCTATTGCTACAACCAGAACCTGTGACCAAATGCAATATACATGTTAAGTATTCAGACATCTGACAGACAAAAACTTTGAAAATGATAAAGTATGAGTATTGTAGCGTTTTAGTAGATGTTAAATAGTAGTAAAAAAGTAGAATTGTCCTTCCTTTGTTGTTCATAAACACATTTCAACTTAGAGTTAATATAGTACCATACAATGTTATCCTTTTGATAGAGCAGCTAAAATATTAGAATCAGAATCATGTTACAGCCATTAAAAGTGACAGAAGTCACAAACTAGGAATATGCCTTTGCTCAAGCTGCAACCGAGCTTTGGAGTTAAAAAATAGAGTAAAAATAGGAATAGATAAATGCATCAACCATAGATGCTTTCAAAAATAGAGATTATTTCTAGCCAGTGCTAATATTTGAATGGTAAAGGGACCATTTCACAAACATTTACTTCAGAAGTAAATCAAGTTAATTACAGTTGTATGTACAGTTTTATTAGATACTGCCAAATTCACTTGTGTTCAAACATGAGTGAATGTTGACAATGCAAAAAGCTCATATGAGTGTAGTCTAGATTAATGCCTAGATCAATGAGATAGATTAGAACCAACAGAGATTCAAAAGCATTCAAAAGCATTTTGATGTATTTGTGTGTAGCCCAAAAACAAAATAGTAGATATTTAGATATCTTTGAGAAGTTTAAAAGTTGTTGATTCATCAGCACAGATTAGAATCAAACACCATTGTAGAATAACTGACCCCAACCCCAAACCTGCTAAAATAGATTAGCTCTTGTAAGGATAATACTAATTTGATTAATGATGTACATTCATCCCAAACTGCTCGAGAGGAGGAAGTGACAGCACTTCCTGGTTCAACAAATGTATTTGGAAAACTGACCACTATAGAAGTGTAAATGTTGACCATTTGCCTTACTGTGTTCAGTTTTATTCCTGAGAATGTAGAATAGACAGAGCAAAATCCCACTAACAATAACCCACTGATAATGAGAGTATAAAACCACAGAGAGTTTTATTAGATTAAAATGTATGTTTAAGAATATGGCTCAATAGAAGCAAATATACAAACATATTTGTAAATAGATTAGAATAGTTTTAAACTATAGTGAATAGAGAGTAAAGTACACAGTCTAAGATTAGAAAAAGTGATAATACAGTGAAATAAGTGAAGTGTAAACAATTAGCATTAGAATAAAAGTATAGAGTAATAAAAGTGAAATTAGCTTCTAAATTGAGACTCAGCTGAGTTCTTGTGTGTCCAATAGTATTTTTGTTTGTTTTTATTTTTGATTTGTTTTAGTTTTTTTGTTTGTTTATTTACTTTATTTTTGTTTGTTTGTTTTTTCCCAGGATAGAGGATAAAATCCACTGATATTGATTTGGATGATTATGAGTTTTAATAATTTTTTAAAGTTTTTTAAGATTTTTTTTTTTCTTTTCTCACTTTATTGATTGATCAATTTGAGTGATCACATGTGATTATGTGATCAAAGGGGAGGGTGTTAGTATTAGATAGCAATATGGCCTACGTGCAGGACTGTACAAGGACTCTACAAGGACTCTGTCATGGCGTAATGGAGGGGACCCAGAGGAGACGCAAGACTTTCCAAAAAATGTATTTATTACAAAAAATAAAATGTAACGGAGGCTGGCAGGGTCTGGGACAAAACGGGAACAAAAAGGCAGGCAGAGACTGGAGCAGATCGGCGGACTGGAAACACAGGGAAAAAACAGGTAAGTAGTTGCTCACAAAAAACAGATTTAAGCTCACAAGGCCGACTGGAAAAATCACCATCAATGACGGACAATCTGGCATCAACTGGCAGCAGAGCACAGCTGAAGTAGGATGATGATTGCCAATCACGAGCAGGTGAGCAGCTCCAGAACTCCACCCATGCACAGGAGGGGAGGGGGCGAGCAGCAGGGCATGACAGACTCCATGTTATGACTATGATGTGACTGTCTCTTTGTGACACGTATGTCTTTCGATGTGTGACGTGACAATGACTATATAAACTGTGTACTGCCTTTATTCTGTCTGAGAGAAAGAAACAGAGTAAACCAGTGGAACTTGAGAGAAACTTAAATAAACTTCCAGAGTTTGGCGCACCACGATCCGTCTCTGTCTGGTTCATCCCTAACCCACGTGCTTTGACCTTTTGACCTTGTCATGATTTTTAACTGTAAAACATATCTTACTATAAATCATAAAAGTAGGCTTAAAAAAAACCTTATGGACCTCAGGTTTGTTGGACTAAAAAGCTCAGTTACATTTGAAGTATTTTTTCCCACACATAGACTGTAAATAAACGATGACAACATGACTGCGCTATGGCTTTAGAAGACTTATTTTGAAAGTCTGAAGTTTGTTTTGTCCCTTTCATTTTGACACATTCCTTTCTCCCTGATGTGAAAAGCTGACACTGGTCCAAACAACACGCCAACCCTTCTTCATGTGGTCCCGGGTTTCAACACAGTCACTTGTGAGAGAAAACACAAACAGAGACAGAGACAATGATCATAATGTTTTGGCTGATGCTTTATTCAACACATGGCTCCAGTCGCAGTGTAAAATCATTTATATTTAAATATTTTCTGTATATTCTCTGCTCTCCTGCTCCTCGCTCTTTCCCTGATTAAAGAGAAATCAACTCAACTAAAGGAAGACCAGCTCGGGGGGTCCGCACTGACGCTCAGGTGCGCACCAGCCACTGCGCTTTTCAGGCTAAAAAATTATTCAATTCAACTTTGTGATTCCGTCGTTAATTAAAAAGGTCTTAAGCTGTATGGTTCTGAACGCTACAAATAATAAAAACAGACTGATTTCGTGGCTGTGTTTGGAAACAGCCCGTGTGTGCAGTGCAGGCCCCGCCCCACGAACCCGAGCGGCGCCGTGTGCGAAGCTACAAAAAGGCAGCCGCTCGGGTTTGTAACATTTAGCAGAAAAACAGTCTTTAAAGACGCTAAAAGATATATTCACAGACTTATTATTGTTATTAATACATACGCCGCAAAACGGGGGAAAAAAACGCAAGAGAAAAGGGTTCCGTTCAGAATCTGGATTTTTCAGTTTGTGCAAAATATGTTTAAGTTAGATCGGTTTGGGCTCGTACTAAAAATAAAAGCTATATACTTTTTAAAAGCTGGGGACTTTCACTGCATGTACTTTTTCATCCGCTTTTTCAGATAGAAAAAGATTAAAGTGAGAGACAAGAGAGAGAGCGCAGAGAGAATAGAGAGAGAGGGAAACCAGAGAGAAAGAAAGACCAGGGAGATAGTGATAGAGAGAGACCAGAGGACGACTCTACTCAGCCCAACGAGTCAAATAGTGACTCACAGGGTTCTTTCTTACAATTTTTTAAAAGACTTTATGGATTGTTATATGAGACCAGAAAAATATATTCTAAAATCTCAGTGGAACTACCCTTGTTACATAAAAGCCACAATAATCCATGCTTAAACCACTGTTTTCTTGCTCACAAATACATCATGTTGAATATCTTGGTGTGTTCTGTAATAATAGTGATCTAGATTCTGAACGAAGCCGATAAACCTCAGGCATTTTGTCACATTTGCAGCGAAACTTTGGCAGCATTCGACCAGGAACGTCTGCGTCACGAGTCCTCTCTCGTTTTATTCTTATTGGAAAGTTTATTATTTGAAAATGTCTCTTTCTTCAACTGGAGCTCAGGCCTCAGCTCCTGTCGGAACAAAGTCTCAAAATGTCCCCGACGGCAGCGGAAAGCAACACGAAGAGTTCACGTGACTGATATCGTCCAGGCCAACCTCATGCATGTGTTTTTTAATAATGCCACCACTTCTAGACACCTTTATGAGGAAATAATGAGACGGATAGAGACAAGCGAGACCAGAAAGAGAGGCCAGAGAGAGGGAACAGAGAGAGAGAGAGGCTAGAGAGAGAGACCAGAGAGAGAGGCCAGATATAGAGACCAGAGAGAGGCCAGAGAGAGACCAGAGAGAGGGAACAGAGAGAGAGAGACGCCAGAGAGAGAGACCAGAGAGAGGGAACAGAGAGAGACCAGAGAGAGGGAACAGAGAGAGAGGGAACAGAGAGAGAGACCAGAGAGAGAGACCAGAGAGAGAGAGAGACCAGAGAGAGACCAGAGAGAGAGACCAGAGAGAGACCAGAGAGAGAGACCAGAGAGAGAGAGACCAGAGAGAGGGAACAGAGAGAGAGAGCAGAGAGAGAGACCAGAGAGAGACCAGAGAGAGAGGCCAGAGAGAGACCAGCGAGAGAGGCCAGAGAGAGGGAACCGAGAGAGGGAACAGAGAGAGACCAGAGAGAGACCAGAGAGAGAGACCAGAGAGAGGGAACCGAGAGAGGGAACAGAGAGAGACCAGAGAGAGACCAGAGAGAGAGACCAGAGAGAGACCAGAGAGAGAGGCCAGAGAGAGGGAACAGAGAGAGAGACCAGAGAGAGACCAGAGAGAGAGGCCAGAGAGAGGGAACAGAGAGAGAGACCAGAGAGGGAACAGAGAGAGAGACCAGAGAGAGATTAGAGAAAGACGAGAGCAAGAGACCAACGAGAGGGACCAGACACCAGGGAGAGAACGAGACTAGAGAGAGATCAGAGAGACAGATCAATAAGAGGGACTTGAGAGACACCAGAGGGAGACACCAGAGGGAGACACCAGAGAGAGATGAGCGAGCGACCAAATGTGCTGAACAAGGAAGATATGTAACTTTGGGACAGTTTTAGTTTAATGTGAGTTGTTAGCTCTAGAGTCTAGACTAAGACTGTAATTTGACTTTTACCACGGTTACCAAGAAAGCTAAAACTATAGGCTCTTCACATCAACTCTGTCCTGGTTAGAGTTGATGTGAAGAGCCTATAGTTTCAGCTGTATTGTACCATGACCTGACTGTGTAAAGAAAAACAATAAAAATGAAATTATAATTATCTTCTCTGTGGGCGAAACACAGAGCCCTTGGTGCGTCCTGCATCTCAGATCCATCCTGTGACCCGTATCCATCCCGCCTTCTGAGTCTGTTGCATGTTCTCCCTGCGCTCAGAGTCGCGTCTGCGCTTCGGGCACGTACAGCTCCAAACTGTCCGTACTCTCCGTGGCTGAGTTCTGTCTGAAGGATGCGCCCTTTCTGGGGACACCCTTGTGAGCGTGGGCCCTAGAGGCTCCGGAGGGGGGCAGTCCACGCTCTTCTCCCGACCCAGAGACGGGCGAGCCTCAGTGGGCTTCTTCAGCACACATGGCCCCCTCTGCTGGTGGCCCTGGGGATCAGCGGGTGAATGAGAGAGACGTGAGGGGACAGAGGAGAGACACACAGACACCAACAAACATGAGGTTACACGAGACCACCAAGGTCAGAGATGAGGCCAAAGAGCATTTATCCCGAGTGGACTGAGCGAGAGTGACATCACCTTAGTGTTAGCTTTAATGGAGAACAACCCTTAATAGCTCCAGCCTCAGTGAACATCCAGAGAAGGGACATTGAAATAGTGGACTCTTACAAGTACCTGGGTGTTCATCTGAACCACAAACTGGACTGGACTCATAACATAACGTACTCTTCAAGAAGGGGCAGAGCCGGCTCTACCTGCTGAGGAGGCTCAGGTCTTTTGAAGTGCAGGGGCCACTCCTAAAGACCTTCTATGACTCTGTGGTGGCATCAGCCTCATGCACGGTCTGGTCTGCTGGAACAGCAGCATCACAGAGAGAAAGAAGCTGGACAAGGTCATCAGGAAGTCCAGCTCAGTCCTGGGCTGTTCCCTGGACACAGTGCAGCTGGTGGGGGACAGGAGGGTCCTGGACAAACTAACATCTATGCTGGACCATAACTGTCACCCCCTGCAGGACACTCTCTCTGCTCTGGAGAGCAGCTTCAGTGACAGACTAATTCATCCTTGCTGTGTGAAGGAGAGGTTCCGCAGGTCCTTCCTTCCTGCTGCTGTCAGACCGTACAACAAACAATGAGGACTAACGAACACTGCCGACATGACCTCATGTCATGCCTCGGTGCAATATCTTGCAATGTGTAGTTGTAGAATACACAGTACTTTATACTTGCTTCTTATTATGCCAAAGGTAGAGATTTTATACTTCTTTATTATGCTAGAGTTAAAGCTTTTATAATATTTGATTTAGTACAGTTATTGTTCATTAATCGTGTGCTCCTCATTCCTACTGTTCTGTAACTTGTGATGCAACACTGAAATTTCCCCACTGTGAGACAAAAAAAGGGTCTCTTAATCTTATAAATAGTCATGTAATAACGGTTCATTTTCTGGACGCTCAAAGATGCTTCACAGCAGTATTCATTAACTCCATTGATAGTGGTGATAAACTACTTTACAGCCGCAGCCACCCCACTGTGGCACCTGGTGCTTCCAGTGGTCTCCCATTATAGTGCTAACCAGGTCCTGCCCTGCTTAGCTTCAGAGGTCTGAGGGGATCTGGCTTTCACTGCTAGTGACGCCACAATTTGTGGTTAATATTACAAAGACAATATTGTGATATAAACACCAAGAACACTTTTCAATGTAAGAAGCCAGAGCGAGTTGGAGAAAACTTTGTCCATGAGCACTTCCCTATTGGGCTTCAATGAACAAGCGGGTGATCATGGTCCATCTATTCACATAGGAGATACTAAACTTTTTTTCTTTCTTTTTTCTAAAGGACAGAAGCAGGAACTCCATCTAAAATAATAAACAAAAATAAAGAAAGAAAAGAAAAATTAAAAAGAGGAATTGTTGGAGGAGAAATATTACACGTTACTTTTAGCGTTAAATGATAATGGGACTGTGTACTTTTCTTGTTTATGTTTATCGCTCTCTGTGATCCTAGTGTTTATATTGTGATATTGTCTTTTTTAAATCCATATATGGTCGATCAATCAGAAGCCTTCATTCACAGGGGAAAATCCAGTTTGCCTTAGCAACTGTCTTAACAACACATCTGCCCCTGTTATGGAAAAAAAAGCCCATTAAAGGAAAGAGCTAGCTTATGTTCATGGCATCTTCTGCATTAAAGCTAACACTATGGTGATACTCGGTCAGTACGCTCTGTGGTTTCTCCTCAGTCAGAGTTCTCGTTAGACTATTGGAGGACACTTTTCACTTGTGCAGCCCCAATGCTGTTAACTCACCTCCATTTTTAAAAAAAAATTTTATCACAAAAAACATTGAACATTTAGCAACGAAAACAACAAACAAAAAAATAACATTTTCAAATTCTGGAGAGATGATGATTTCAGGTGCGTTTGTCGCGAGCTGAACTTCAAAACTGTATGAAACACATATTTGGTTTTTAATTTTGAAAACACAGAAAACCACAAAAATAAATCTGCGTCAATAAATGTACAAACGCGTTAAATACGCAATAAAATATTGTTTAAGGCGAGCAGCACTCTCTCATCTAGTGTTGCTCACCCTCTCCCTGGTTTCTCTCTCTGGTCTTTCTCTCTGGTCTCTGTCTCTGGTCTCTCTCTGGTCTTTCTCTCTGGTCTGTCTCTGGTCTGTCTCTGGTCTCTGTCTCTTGTCTCTGATCTCTCTCTGGTCTCTGTCTCTTGTCTCTGATCTCTCTCTGGTCTCTGTCTCCGGTCTCTGATCTCTCTCTGGTCTCTTTACTCTGGTCTCTTGTCTCTCTCTCAGACTAGAGAAAAACCAGAGATAATTGAGAGACCTCTCTCGAGTTTGATAAAGCATTACTTCAGAAGGGGTGGGGGGAAATCGTCAGAGGTTCCTGATACCTGCGTGGATGGAGCGACAGACATCTACAGGTCTGTGTTTGAGGAGGAACAGTGTAATTTGAAGTGATAAATCTGTTTTAAGTTGAGCTCAGATAAACGCACCTGAATCAGCTGAAAATGTTTGGACTGAAATGAAAAGACGGGTTCACAAAGACACAACCCAGAGGAGCAGGTTCAACTCCGGCTCTGATGAGACTGATGCTGCATCTCTCTTTGGTCTCTATCTGGTCCCTCACTGGTTTCTGGTATATCTCTCTCGTCTCTCTGGTTGCTCACTGGTCTCTCTCTGGTCTTTCTCTCTGGTCTCTCTTTGGTCTCTGGTCTATTTTTCTTGTCTCTCACTGGTCTCTCTCTGGTCTCTCTGTGACAGGTTTCTAACATTTTAAAGTTACACTAACTGACTTTGAGACATTTTCGAATGAGAGCGCTGGGCTCGCTCTCTCTCTGCTCGCCCTCCCCGCACTGAGCTTTTGCCCCCCCCCACTACACCCTCCCACTCAGTCTGCGCTCATGTGCTAATTGTTTATGGAGCTCACGTCTCACAATAGGGATCGCACATTTGAACGTGGATGACGTGTCCATAGAATTGTGAGATTTCATAACACTTTGAAGCAACTTTTGTTAAAGTTAAACTCATCATTCTATCAATGTGCAGAAGCCTGTACTTTTCCACTTCATGTTGTGTCTATCTGAAGGCCAAGCTACAAGCACACCGTGGAAGCTGCTGATTGGAGGTCTCCATGCCTCCGCTCTGTATAATACACTTGCATTCTGTTGTTCGTGTTGTTCGTGCTGTCTCTACCATCGACAATAAAACATGTCTTCTGTCTGAATGAAAGACGCGATCCCAGACTTGGCACATCTTCTTCAGAATGATAGAACCGGGAAGCGCGGAGGAACGAGACTTTCTTTTGGATGGCTGTTTCGCGGTGTAAGCAGTAACCGGTAACGAAGACACGGGAAGCTTCAGGTTACCCTCCGCCGCTTGTTTACCTCAGCTGTCTATGCAAACAAGAGACCTGTGGTTTTTCTCAAAAAAGTGGGGGCCAGTGGTCCGCTGTGATTGGTCACAATCTGGACCCGAAACACATTCTCTTCCTTGTTTCACAAAAACTCGATCTAAAATAAAATGAAAACCTGCGCCACTTTTTCTTCAAAAGGACGTATATCCCAATGCACTGCATGGATATGGATTGAATTTTTGTAATGAATACAAACATAAAGTTAGGTAATGCAGCTATAACTCGAATGTTTTAAAAGCAATGAAAAAGAAAATTGTTTATGGTGCAATTTAATCTAATTTTCTAATCAGTGTTTTGTGTCAAATACCGTAACTGGTGAAATATTGTATGAAGAAAGTAGTGGTACGGCCCCCACTTTGAGAACCACTGCTCTCAAGTCTGTGATGCAGAGTAAGAAAAAGGAATATTCACCACATGTTCAGAAGAAACAACAGAGTGAGTTGAACCTTTTCACAGTGCCACATAGAACACACACACACACCCACAGATAAAGGCACACACGTACAAAAAGCACACAAAGCGTACACACACACACATGCACACACAATTAAGGCTATTTCTATCATTTTTGATCAATTTAAAAATCCAACGCTTTTCTTCCAAATGAAGAACGTGTTTCAGATCTTTTTAACAGTATTAGTGTATTACTACACAGTAATATTGTACAGTAAAGTAAAATACTGACACATGCATGTCTCACAGCGGCCACAGGGGGCGCTGCTGTTCCATGCATGTCTCCAGAGGACGACACAGACGTCCACACAGCTTACTCAGATCATACTTTAGTTCTCTTTGTTTATCTTGTGTTGAGAGCATCTGTTTGTTTTTTTTTGCTTTGTATTGAGCACTGCAACACTGGAATTTACACACCATGGTCTCTCTCTTTGGTCCCTCTCTTGTCTCTCTCAGCTCTCGCTCTGATTTTGCTCTCTCTGCTCTCTCTCTGTTCCCCCAGGTCTCTCTCTGATCTCTCTCTGGTCTCTCTCTGTTATCTCCCTGGTCTCTCTCTGATCTCTCTCTGTTCAGTCTCGATAGTGAGAGCTGGGAGCCTGTATACTGTAGTTTGAGCTGGTGGAGGTCTGTGTGGTCTACAGCAGAGCCTGGAGATGTGGCCGTCTCCATCTCCTTGTGTTAAGGGGGGGTTAGATGGTGGTGGGAGGAGAGGGGCCGGTGCGGCGGCTGTCCTACCCCTGCCAGCAGAGGGCAGTACCTTCCTCTCAAGTGGCTGCCACTCGTTGGACTTGAGGTGGTAGAGCTCATCAAACTTCAGGCTGATGTCCTCAATTGAGACCTGCAGGAGGTCCCAGGACACGGCCAGGTCCTGGGGGGAGGGCCGGGGGGAGGAGAGGGGTTCCTGGGCACAAAGGACACACGTTAGAGAGGACTAACATACTTTAATGGTTTCTTTGCTCATTTACACATGAACAGGAGCAGTTCATTTGAGCAGAAAAACTATTAAGAGCTTTTTCCCCTGGTCTCTCCCTTGTCTCTCTCTGGTGTCTCTCTGGTCTCTCCCTGGTCTCTCTTAGGTCTCTGGCTCTCTTGTCTCCCATTGGTCTCTCTCTGGTATCTCTCTCCGGTCCTTCTTTCTGGTCTCTCTCTTTGGTCTCTCTCTGGTCTCACCCTGAACTCTCCCTCTGGTCTCTCTCTGATCTCTCTCCGGTCTCTCCCTGGTCTCTCTCTTTGGTCTCTCTAGTCTCCTTCTAATCTCTCCCAATAAACAGGACTTTCAGACATAAGAATAATGAAGAACATGATGAGATAGAAGTCACTCACCAGGTTCTGCTCACACAGTCCCTCAAACTGCTGGAACTTCTGCTTCATGAGGAGCCGAGCGCTGCTCATCGCACTGCGCACTTTAGCCAACACTGCACCGCGACAACAGGGAACAGTGTGTTAACTTTGGAGGATCCTCTTAAGCATAAGAATCTGGCATTATTTATAACCGGGCTGACCATTTCAAGGTCACTGTGACGTCTCATAACTTTGCCTTAGCGCTTAACTCACAAAACTACCACAACGTTGAATGAAACTGCCATAAAAACCTATCCATATGAAATACATGATTGCATTTCTAAACCGTGTGAAAGTAGATACCCAGAGTTTGACTGTGAAAAGAAGTATCTGGAGTTGGTACCATGTTCTGAGAGCTGGTGGTCCTTGGTCTCCTGCTCCATCTGCTCACACCAGCCCTGCATGCGGCCTCTCTCAGCCTGCAGCAGCTTCAGGAACCAGTGTCCGTCCCTGCAGCACACGTTCACCCCCTCCTCACCCTCCTCGCCCCCCCCAGAAACCCCGCTGTCCAGCCACGGGTCCGGAGGAGGCAGGCAGGAAGGGTCCAGAGCCGGGTCCAGACTGGCGTCTAAGCTCTCAGAGAAGGAGTCTGAGCTGCTCCGTGTGGTGGATCTATGCAGACAGTGGAATGAGTAACTTTGTAATGTTAACAAAGCATAAGAATCTATATAAAGTTATAATCAGTCTGACCATTTTAAGATTAAAGATTAAGAGATCCTTTATTTGTCCCACAGTGGGGAAATTTCAGTGTTGTATCATTGCATGACAAGTTATAGAATAGTAGGAAAGAGGAGCACACGGCACAAGTCAAGTGAACAATAGCTATCCTAATTCAAATAAAACAAAATCTCTAACTCTAGCATCAATAAAAGTATAAAATCTCTATCTTGAAAATAATAATAAAGAGAAGTGTATAAGTTTTACAATTGGCGATAAGAGGCAAGTATAAAGTACTGTGTATTCTAGTGCAAGCTAAGTGTAGTTATATGCTAGCAGCAGTATGTTTACATCTGTACATATTAGCAACAGTATGTTTACATCTGTACATTAGCAGCAGTATGTTTACATCTGTACATTAGCAGCAGTATGTTTACATCTGTACATTAGCAGCAGTATGTTTACATCTGTACATTAGCAGCAGTATGTTTACATCTGTACATTAGCAGCATGAGGCTCTGGGACACAGGGACTCAGTAAAGTGACAGTAACATGTGGTTATTGCATATTCTGATATAAGTTAACGATATTGCAATGATGCATGACATGTGGGATTAAGTTGGCAGTGTTCATTAGTCCTTATTGTTTGTTGTACAGTCTGACAGCAGCAGGATGGAAAGACCTGCGGAACCTCTCCTTCACACATCGAGGATAAAGAAGTCTCTCACTGAAGCTGCTCTCCAGAGCAGACAGAGTGTCCTGCAGGGAGTTTGTGTTATGAATCCAGTCCAGTTTGTGGTGCAGATGAACACCCAGGTACTTGTAAGAGTGTCCTTTCTCTGGATGTTCACTGGGGCTGGAGCGGCAGAGTGACGTCTGCGGAAATTGGTCTTCCGTGCGTTGATGAGGAGGTGGTTCCGCTGACACCAGTCCACAAAGTCCTGTATAACTCCTCTGTACTCTGCGTCATCCTCCTCGGAGCTGAGTCTGATGATGGCAGTCGTCGGAGAACTTCTGTAGGACACAAGGGTCAGGACGCAGGTCAGGACCTCAGACACAGACCCTGGTTCTCACAAACTGGGGTCTGTCTTGGAGGTAGTCCAGGATCCATGAAAAAAATTGAGATGACTCTGCACAGCTTTTCCTCCCAAGAGATTTTAATTCTCATCACACAATGTGACGTTTTGGGTCACTACCCTTCCTCAGACATCAGCAGGCTACACACCTGTATACAGTATATACACAGTGATGACAGGTCACATGACTCACTCAATGCACAAGAAATGTAAACAATGAGGTGTAGCCCCCCTGAAATGTGATGACAAAATACCACAGCATATAGTAGTCCGGGATCCACTCAGACAGGGTGTAGTCCACTCCAGCTGTCTCCAGCTTGTCCCTGAGAAGCTGCGGCTGGATGGTGTAGAAGGCGCTGGAGAAGTTGAAGAACAGAATCCTCACAGGTTTCCTCACGGGTTTCTCTAGGTAGGCAAACTGCAGCGGGTCCATCGCTGAGGTCAGAGTGGAGGGGAGATGTCCCAGGACTAGTTTCTCCAGTGTCTTCATGCAGTGGGATGTCAAAGCCACCAGCCTGAAGTTGCTGAGGTCTTTGGCCCATGACGTCTCATAGATTGCCTTAGCACTCAAACTTCTATCTATCAAAAGTTTCCAACAGCCCTACTTGGCTCTACTCTACTCTCCCCCAATCGGGAGTATTTCCACTAGTCCTGTTTAACCAGTGCCAGGTCCATCTTTAGTCCTTCTTGGCCCTGGTTCTATCCAGACCAAGCTGGTCCTACAGTTCTAATTGACAGTGATTCGCCAGAGTGCGGCTGCAAGCCATGGTTATAAAGGAATTTCCCTGGATACTGGTTTGTTGTGGGTAGGTTGCTAGGATATGGTACCAGTTACTGAAGTGTGTGTATGTATGTTTGTATGTGTGGGGGTTGGAATCAAATAAGCGAATGATTCGTCCAAGTTCAACCCCTTTGTAGTTTATAAGTTGTTTTTGTCTTTTGTACGAACCTCATGCGTTTAAAAAGATACTATCCATTCAACCATTTTCTTCCCCTTAATCCATTTCTGGGTCGGAGGGGTGGCAGTCAGAGATGCCACCTAAGTCACAGAGCACCAGCTCAGCACGAGATACTACTAAAAGAAAAGAAAAAACCTTTCACCTGTTGAGAATCTGTCGCATGATTGGCGGGCTCAAGGGGGCTGGCGCATCCTGGTCCAGAGAGTCCTGAGCCACTGATTGGCTGCCGCAACTGACCATCACTTTCTTCTCAGAGGATTTTGATTGGGGCTTGTATGAAGGGGGCATTTCCTGAGTATCAGAGTCAGCTTCCTGTTTGGAGGCGACGCTGTTGGAGCGACTTAACCTGAAATCAACAACTGGACGTCATCCTAGGGTTTGTGACATCATAAAGGGGAGGGGACCAGTCTGTACTAACAACGTGGATGGAGCTAAAAACAGGTTAAAGTGGTCCCTCTCTATAATGCAGTCCACCTTTCGTAGTTTTGCAAATCTTTGTGCGTACTTTTCTTACAGCATGCTTCCCATGCGCCGTCAGGTACCTTTGCTTAAAGCAATAGTTCACCGTTTTTACATACTGACATATGTTCTTACCTTACCTTAGACTAGTTAATATGTACCTGTCTGGTCTTAGTCCGTGCGCTCTGACAGATGACAGAGCGCACGGACTAAGACCAGACAGGTACATATTAACTAGTCTAAGGTAAGGTAAGAACATATGTCAGTATGTAAAAATGGTGAACTATTCCTTTAAAGTCTCTCTGGTCTCAGTCTGTTCTCTCTCTCTGATTTCTCTATGGCCAATATCTGGTCACTCTCTGGTCTCTCTGTGGTCTCTCTCTGGTCGTCCGGTAGCCCTCAGTCCTGCTCCTTCCCTTCAATGCTGTAACCTCTGCAGCTGTATTTTACAGAGTATGCACGGCTTTTGACAGCTGCAGCAGCGCTCAGACTTAGAACCAACAGGTTTGATATCTCTGTGATTGCACTTTACAGCCTTGAAACATTTAACTTATTGTGGGTTATTTTTTTTTAAACGAACCTGTGATAAACTAGGGACCAGTTAAAGGACAACTCGCCCTCAAATCCACTTTTTTTTGCTGATAAACGGTATAAATGAGTGTCCAATAGTGTTGTGTACATATCCTGGTCATAATCTTGTCACTTTAGTGCAAATTAGTTGAAAGTTAAACTTTCTGCCTAAAACCGTCTGTGAGGCGCCATCTGCTGGCGACCTGTATTACTACATTTGAATTTTGAATCTGGCGCCAACACTGGCACAGAAGTTAGACCTGACGTCTGCAAGTTGGACCTGACGTCAGCAGCCCCCCGCCCAGAGCAATATAAACGGCCCAGTCTCGTTCACGCCCCCTTCAGTCCTCCAGGCTACGCCCATTTAGAGGAAGATTTGAACAGGAAATGTGAGTGACGTAAGCTCCGAGGAGCGGGGGTGAGAACCACTTTAAGTGCAAGAGAGAGAGAGAGGCCAGAGTGAGAGACTTGAGAGACTGGTGAGGGAGACTAGAGAGAGAAACCAGCAAGAGAGGCCAGAGAGAGAGACTGGAGAAAGAGACCAGAGAAAGAGACCAGAGTGAGAAACTAGAGAAAGAGACCAGAGAGAGAGACCAGAAAGAAAGACCAGTGAGCAGAGACTAGGGATGGTTGTGATCGCTGAAATTTCTATTAAACAAGTGATTTGGCCCAAAAGCTGCAGTATGATATTTGTATTAGCGGAGCACACACACTTACTGCCAGCCATCCTCCACCTGCACCCCGATGGACGTAAAGCGGCTCAGAGGGGGCGTGTCCTCTCGGGGTGCGGGGCTAGAGACTTCTGGGAAACAGTCCACCTGTAGCAGAGAAAGGGTTTGGATTAAGCTTCCCCTTTCATAAACACTTCCCCCCCGTCCAAAAATGGCAAAATACCTTGCCCTTTGTCCTTCCTTATCCTCTCTGCTCCTTATTATTGACCTTCTGTTGAGGTCAACTTTAAAGAGCAGGGACGAGAAAGGAGCAGTAAAGAAAGCAGCAGTACGGAATGAATCCTTTTAATTAATCCAAAATCCTCGTAATCAGCGGTGGAACAGCAGCTGCTCCTGAAAAATCCACCGGTTCTTGATCAATGATAAGGACAGGAATCTTCTTGATGCAAGCCTCTTTTCAAACCGAAGACCTCTCCACCACCGGAAGTACCTTTCCCCGTCCAGAACCATAGCTGATCCGCACCCCAGCCACTTTACACTGAGCCCAAACTGTCCCAGGTTGGTTGTCCTGGTTGAATCCAACAAAACAACAGACCAACTTCCCCACAAGGAGTGGACTAAGCGTGTGACATCACCATAGTCTTAGCCTTAAAGGTCCCATATTACGCTTTTTGACTTTTCTCTGGTTTAAACATGATTACAGTGCAGAGTAGTTTTTTCATTGATTCCGTCAAGCTTGTCAAGTTAAAGAGCAATCTTTCTCTTTCATTCTTGAGAGGCTCAGAAACGAGCAGTTTCAAATCGTGACGTGGTACAATCTGTGACGTCAAAAGCCCGTCTCCATGAGGTGATTGACAGCGGGGAGAAACTGACTCCGCGAATCAGGTCAGCTACAGCCTCTCTCCGAGTCCTCGCAAAATCCGTGAGTCAAAAATCTGCTACAAAACTCGCAGATGTTTCTTTGCGAGTGACGGTGAGACCACCAAAGACTGTTCCAGAACTACATTTACCTTGAAACGGGACATACTCAAAAGCTGATCTGGAAACATGGTGTTGTTTCCAACATAAAAGAAGCTAACAGGAGCCTCGGTGAGTACAATGAAACTAACTCGCCGTGTGTCACTGTGAACTAAATAATTAGGGTCTGATTCTGGATCAAGGACATAGGGCGCTATTTGACAGATTGCCATTGTTGGATAAAGTTTATTCATAGGTCTGAAATGACTAACAGTAAAAGCTGTACAAGTAGCTTTCACTGATTTGTTTACCTCGAACTTAGCGAGAGGCTACGTCACCGTGCAGGAAAGGGGAGGCGGGTTCACAGTCTTTAGTTTTCTGTGGTGTATCGCCCAAATTATTATCACACATGAGCATCGGACGGGCAGTGAAAAATAAAGAAAAGCAAAATATGGCACCTTTAATGCGGAAGAGACCGATTTGAGCATGAGCAAGCTGGAGCCAATTTCCTTATATTCTCATTTGGCATTTGGCAGACGTGTCAAATGCCAAATGCATTTCCCCGCAAATGGGTTAGGGTGTCACAAACAATTACTGACCTCAAGGAGTTTACTTTTCAAGGTAAGTCAACAGGAGTCAGAGCAAGCACTTCTTTATTGTGCTTTCTGGAGGTAGCAGGTTAGCATTGTCCATCTGTTTACAGTCTATGATTGGAACACACATATCCCTCTCTGCTCTCACCTGGATTCCGATGGAGGACAGTTTTCTCCTCGGAGCCGGTGCTTCCTGTGGCTCCTCGGGGGATAGCATGGCGTTAGTTTTAGCTGCTCCTGTTAACGTGCCGTTAGCTTTAGTCGTGCTGTTAGCTGCTGATGTGTCACTCTCACAGTCGTTCGTCGCGGTGGTGCAGTGGGCTCGGGGGGCGATGGCTTCGTTAGTTTCTCTTTGGGTTAGAGGATCTCTAGGAAAAAGGGACAATGTTACTTAAGGAAGAGGTTTCATGCTCTGAAAATGACAGAAGCAGGATGGAAGATAATATGTTTGTAAAGAGTTTTTGTACATAAATGTTGAATGTTGCACCTTGCCTGCGATGCTAGGCACTTATTAATTTATATGAGCTGCTGAAACGTTGCAACATCTGTAAATAAATTCACAAATAAGCAAACCGATGAAAATAACAGCCCTATGCGACTCCTCCCCCCTCCCAAAGACTGATGGATAAAGCTCAATGAAGCCCAATAGGGAAGTGCTCATAGTGAAGTTTTGCTCCAACACTCTGGCTCCATATTGAAAAGTAAACTCCTCTAGCTCAGTGACCGTTTGTGTCACACTCACCAGTTTGGAATTAAACAAATCTGTGGCTTAGCGCTCTCTGAGAGCCTGGTGTTTCAGGAATTCAACTTCAGCTGCAAGTAGCTTTAGACCAGCGGAACTCCCGATTGCCTCTTGGTTGCTCGGTCGTTGCTATCAACAATGTGCATAAGTTTGGCTCCACATTCCCACTCTAACAGCCTGTTCAAGTTAGCTTGAATCGGCTTCTTCCAAAATAAGTAATAATACTAGGTTGTCGTCACACTCGGTCAGTCCCATAGGCCGTATATTAGTGACCAAGTGTGACATCACTGCAGTGATGCCCTTAATGAGGAAGAAGCCATTTTGAACATAAACTGGCTGGACCCAAATTCCTATGTCAACTTTCACCCGGAAATGAAGGAATCTGATTGATCAATCCGTAAATGGCTCATATCTAGATATACAAAGACAATATTACAATATAAACACCAGGATCACAAAAAGCGCCAAGCCACAGATTCTTAAGCCCGAAATGGTGACTGTGGCACAAACGGTCCCTGAGCTAGAGGAGTTTACTCACAAGTTTACATGTAAGTCAATAGGAGCCAGAGCGAGTTGGAGCCAAACTTAATTCATTGAGCCAGCTCAGTGCTTCTCAAATAGTGGGGCGCGCCCCCGGTGCGATCGATGCCAGACGTGTGATCCTGGGGAACATGTTTTTTTGCAGTACTTGAATAAAGTGTAATAGCACATGGATCTGGGAACATGGTTCTTTTTGGTGTACGTCCTCAAACGGGATTCCATGGTGGCCCAACGTTCCGACCCTGATGCAACTGCGCCGCTTTGCAGTGAATTCAAAGAAGAAAATCCTCCTTTATACCTTTAAGAAAGAGCCTTGTAAGTCTTTATTTGACTTTTTGGGCTGAATGGATTATGAGCCGATCTTAAGATGTAAGGAGGGGGGGGGGGGGTGAAAAACGTTTTCTTATACCTAAGGGGGGGGGGGCTGGCAGAAAATAATTGAGAAGCACTGAACTAGCGGGTTAGCATTTGTCATCTCTATACAGTCTATAATTTTCCCCCTCACCTGTGTGTGTGTCGTGCAGTGGCTGTGATTGGTGGAGGCCTCCTGATGCCCCGTGCCAGGCTGTTAGCTCGCGTGCTATCCAGGCTGTCGGACGAGTTGCTGTGAGCTTGGCTGGACTGGTGGGACACCAGGGGCCGCCGGCACTCATCCACATGGGGGTGATGATGGGAGAGCTCGGACCTCCGACTGTCGTCCACGTGGGGGTGATGATGGGAGAGCTCGGACCTCCGACTGTCGTCCACGTGGGGGTGATGATGGGAGACCTCGGACCTCCGGCTATCATCAGCATGGGGGTGATGGTGGGAGAGTTCGGACCTCCGATTGTCGTCCACATGGGGGTGATGGTGCGAGAGCTCGGACCTCCGACTGTCGTCCACATGGGGGTGATGATGGGAGAGCTCGGACCTCCGACTGTCGTCCACGTGGGGGTGATGATGGGAGACCTCGGACCTCCGGCTATCATCAGCATGGGGGTGATGGTGGGAGAGTTCGGACCTCCGATTGTCGTCCACATGGGGGTGATGGTGGGAGAGTTCGGACCTCCGACTGTCGTCCACATGGGGGTGATGGTGGGAGAGTTCGGACCTGCGGCACTCGTCCAGGTAGGTGTCCTGGGCTGACTCGGTGCTGCTTTGGACTGTGACGGAGATGTAGGGTTTGGATGTGGTGCGGGGGGGCACGGGGGGCGGGCGCTTAGAGGTGGAGACGCAGGTGGAAACTGAGGAAAGAGAAAAACATCAACATCATTGTCGGATTGGTCTTTGCGACAATCCAACACTGAAGACCAGAGAGACCAGAGAGAGACGAGAGAGAGAAGGACCAGAGAGAGATCAGAGTGAGAGACCGGAGACCAAAAAGACCAAAATGTAGACAGTGCAGTTTAGTTAAGGTGTCAAGTTAACTTCTGGCACTTGAACCCCCTTCTGATTCTCCCCCCAGCATTATCTGTGCTGGGTCCATTGACTTCACCACCAGTGTCCAGACCCAAGGGGATTGAGATTTCATCTCACATCTCTCCATACATCTCCCTCTTAGTTTGAATTTTGCACAGACCTCATGTGTGATCCGGAGACTACCTGAGCTCTTGTTGCTGTTAGCAGAGGCCCTGGTGGAGGCCCTGGTGGGGGGTCGGGCAGGGCTCCTGGCTGGGGGCCGGTGCAGGTCCAGTCTCTGCAGTAAAGCCTCCAGCTGCTTCTCTTTGGGAGCTTTGTCTAAACCTGTGGCTCTGAGGTAAGAGCCGAACTGCTGCTTCCACTGGGCCCACTGAGCCGACACCTCGTCTGGTGTGAGAGTTTGAACCAGGAGCAAAGTGAGGAGTGAAGGGTGAAATGGATTGAAAAACATGAAAAAACAGAAAGAAATCTAATAAAACAAAACCAAACATAATGAGGAACTTAAAATAGACAATAATTAACATAAACGTGTGAGTGGCCAACAGAATGGTACTGTTGGAGACTATTTGGTCAATACCCGTGGGAAAGGACAGATCCGGCAGTGTGTTGTGGGTAATGCACAACACAGAGAGAGAGGGAGAGACTAGATAGAGACCAGTGAGAGAGCAGAGAGAGACCAGTGAGAGACCAGAAGGACCAGAGTGAGACCAGAGTGAATGACAGGGGAATTTCACTGCATATAATATGTATGTGACAATAATAAACATAAAAATACACGCAATTTAGAACTGGGGATGAAAACCTCTAATCAGGATCAGAAGAAGAGTTTCTACAAAAAGTCTTTGTGTCATCATTCATAATCTCCAACAATATGGCCAAAAATGTAAATGCATGACTGTCTCCCCTGTTCCTATCTGTGTGTGGAGTCTCACCTGTGCTGTAGGTGCGGACGCTGCTCTCCGTGGGGGGTGGCGACGTGGAGTCCAGTGACAGCGAGTCGTCGTCCTGGGAGCAGCCGGCCTGGATGGCTCTGAGGTAACTGTGGGAACGTGAGCGGAAGCACGTGGGCCGGGGCAGGTCCAGGGGCAGGTCTGAAGGCAGGTCTGGGGGAGAGTCCTGGGACTGGGACCGAGAGTCTCTGAACGTGGACTCGGAGCTGTGGTCCTCGAACGGTCCGCTGTCCATGTCCTGCAGCTGAAACACAACACGTACGGGTAGTATGTGTCACGTATGACAGTATTACCACAGTATTGTATTATATCTGGTTCTGGACTTAAGACAAAGATGCATTAGAATGATATTTATGTCAAGCTGGCATGAAAATATTGTAGCTGCAAAGGAGACTTTAAACCCTCAGATGCATGAGGACGTGCTGATATGAACCCAACAGCAACACTGCATGACGTCTGCTGGAGGGGATTTAATAAGAGAAGATGAGCGTGAAACCCAGGTGCAGGGGTGCCCCAGGTCCTTGGACCCTTCGGCTCAGCAAAGAAACCTGAGCCCATAACATTACGATTCTCTACTGAAGAGGTGGTGACGGGGAGGAGGAGGGTTACTGCACAAACAGCAGCTTGATGCAGGACAGAGAGGCCCAGTTTAAATGCAGCTGAAGTGTTGCTGATAAGCTCAGGTGTGGGACTGCAGCTGTGGCTCGGGTACAGGGGTGAAGCAGAGGGAGGACCCGGTGTGGCAGGTCTCCCACAGCTTTCAGCTGCATGTTACGTTATTCAGTAACGTTTCATTACTGTATAAATGGGTTTGTTTATTAAGGGAAAAAGATAGCTGTTGATCATAGCTTCTAGATAGATCTGACCACATCATCATTACAGGTGCAATGTAGGGTTTTAAAAATGACTTTCCAAAACTGCTTTCATGCGCACATCCTGACGTGTTGTTCACATGTTCTCATGATAACATGCTGCTACAACAATGTGCACTTACTTTCGGACGCCACTTTAACTTGCATCTCTGTGTTAAAATATGAAGTGTGTGGTTTTACAACCTTAAAACATACAGCTGCTACTTCATTAATTTCATTTATTGTGGGGTTTTTTAGAACACATAACGAGTCCAATGTTTTCTAAATATTGTAATTGGTCATGCAGCTCTACTGAATACAGTGGATTGGGACTCAAGACTCTTACTCCACAGTCTTGGCCCATTCGGTTGCGGCGAGCCAGCGAGCTCACGGCCTCTCTGAGATCCTCGTCGTCCCATCCAGAGGAGACTGTTCCTCCAAGAGAGTCCAGTCTCTCGCCCCCCTCAGAGTCTCGCCGGTCCCCCCCAACAGAGTGCATCCGCTCCAAGGTTCGGCCCATGGTTCGGTCCAGGGTCCGGTCCAGGGTCCGGCCCATGGTCCGGTCCAGGGTCCGGTCCAGGGTCCGGTCCAGGGTCCGGTCCAGGGTCCGGCCCAAGGTCCGGTCCAGGGTCCGGTCCAGGGTCTGGTCTGAGGACATCTCCTGGAGAGACGGAAGACAGCTGTGGAGTAGAGGAGGCATATATATCAGATTTTAGAACACAGAGAGGAGCAAAGACAACTTAAATAATCAGGATTCTCCAGGGAACATAGGGCTCAGGTTAACCCTACAAAGACATGTGAAGGCCGGTGTAGGGCGATCTGTGAAGGGGACTGTCCGGTTTTCATGGTTGTAGACCCTTCCCTTCAGGACACAGAGGAGTTGACAAACTCATTCTTAAACACATGTTCCACTGTCCTGGACTTCGTTGCTCCGCTGAGAGCATTGCGTCCCAAAGTTAATCCTGTGCCGTGGATAAAGACAACTCGTGAGGCTCGGCGCAGGTGCAGACAGGCGGTTACATGTGTCTTATGATATTTTAAAAGACAGCTGGAAAACGTATCAGAAAATAGCGAAAGAAGAGCAGGTGAAATACTTTTTGGATTTGGTGTCGAACAATGTAAACAATTCACTTCTTTTATTCCAAACAATTGGATCTGTTCTAAACACGTCCAAATCCATTATTTTAGAATGCACTGTTGAAAGATGTGAGGATTTCTTATCCTTCTTCAGTGGTTCTTCAGTGGTTCTTCAAGGTTGTTTTAATTAGGGCAAATTTAGTGTTCCCTTTCTGTAGTTTGTTCATGAACACCTGTGGCTCAGCAGTTTCTTCATCGTTTGAGCCTGGCTCTTGGCCTGGACTCCACCGGGCGCGTCTCCGTTGACGCGCGTTGGCTGCTGTCCGTCAGACGTCCGTAAAACGGACTAGTGGTCAAACCGGCTGCAGCAGCGCGCAGCTCTGGCTGTGCGTTTATAGCTGCTTTGTTTTTGTAGGAGACACGTTTGGGCATTGTGTGAATGAATGAATATTTGGCTGATGGAGAAGTGTGTGTGTGTGTGTGTGCGCGCGCGCGCGCGTGCCCGCAGCGTTTATTATGATCCAGCCTCTTCGTTTGTTTTCTATACTTATTTAGCGCGTCATACACTTTTATCTGACCCAACTCCCCTCTCCGCGACTTTAGGCAACAGGCAGCCACTATAGTTTTAAATAGAAGAAGCAGTGTGTGATTTGCATGAGCTGTGGCTATGATCAATGCAAAGCACGGCATATTGAAGCATTGAGGACGTCGCGATGGATGAGGCAAAACTTATTGAAAGCAATTGGAAAAAGGGGTGAGAAAAGAGAAAAGAACTCCAACAAATCCAGTGTTGTGAGATCTGTCTCTCATAAGTGCAGCTCTGTGTGTGTGTGAGTGTGTGTGTGTGTGTGTGTGTGGGAGCGCGCGGCGGTGAGGAGAGAGCGCCTCGCAAGTAGACGGGATAGAGCGAGAGAAAAAAGAGCGAGGTGTATGTAAAGATTAGCGTATTTACACTACGCGAAAAACAAATGGTAGATGTACGATCAGGAAACAATTGTTTAAAGTAATACATGAAGAAAATTACACAGGTTTGTTAATAATCATTGTCATTAACAAATACTTATAAGCAAGGGCTACAGCATATATCAATACATGTTTAATAATGTGGCAAATATATTATTCCATTGTATTTTCAATGGAAAACGGACCCGACACGCGTCGACGTACGGTACAAATAGGATTGTTTCTATTTCGTCCGTCCGCGTCCGTTGCACCCTCCGTTAACGGAATACGTCCGACGTGCATCAGACGGACGCATGCGGAGGCAGTGGAGCCACTTCCATTCACCCTCATGGAGATAACGGAGACGGAGATTAAACGGACATGTTTGGACGGATCCGTCGTCCGTTATACGCGCCCGGTGGAGTCGGGCGCGTATACCGAGGCGCTCTCTCCTCACCGCCGCACGCTCCCACACACACACACACAAAGCTATACTGCACTTATGAAAGACAGATCTCACAACAACACTGGAGTTCTTTTCTCCTTTCTCTCTCCCCTTTTTGCTTTCAATTGCTTTCAATAAGTTTTGCCTCATCCATCGCGACGTCCTCAATGCTTCAATATGCCGTGCTTTGCATTGATCATAGCCACAGCTCATGCAAATCACACACTGCTTCTTCTATTTAAAACTATAGCTCTGCCTGTTGCCTAAAGTTGCGGAGAGGGGAGTTGGGTCAGATAAAAGTGTATGACGCGCTAAATAAGTAGAAAACAAACGAAGAGGCTGGATCATAATAAACGCTGCGGACACGCGCGCGCACGCACACACACACACACACACACTTCTCCATCAGCCAAATATTCATTCATTCACACAATGCCCAAACGTGTCTCCTACAAAAACAAAGCAGCTATAAACGGACAGCCAGAGCTGCGCGCTGCTGCAGCCGGTTTGGCCACTAGTCGGTTTTACGGACGTCTGACGGACAGCAGCCAACGCGCGTCAACGGAGACGCGCCCGGTGGAGTCCAGGCCAAGAGCCAGGCTCAAACGATGAAGAAACTGCTGAGCCACAGGTGTTCATGAACAAACTACAGAAAGGGAACACTAAATTTGCCCTAATTAAAACAACCTTGAAGAACCACTGAAGAACCACTGAAGAAGGATAAGAAATCCTCACATCTTTCAACAGTGCATTCTAAAATAATGGATTTGGACGTGTTTAGAACAGATCCAATTGTTTGGAATAAAAGAAGTGAATTGTTTACATTGTTCGACACCAAATCCAAAAAGTATTTCACCTGCTCTTCTTTCGCTATTTCTGATACGTTTTCCAGCTGTCTTTTAAAATATCATAAGACACATGTAACCGCCTGTCTGCACCTGCGCCGAGCCTCACGAGTTGTCTTTATCCACGGCACAGGATTAACTTTGGGACGCAATGCTCTCAGCGGAGCAACGAAGTCCAGGACAGTGGAACATGTGTTTTAAGAATGAGTTTGTCAACTCCTCTGTGTCCTGAAGGGAAGGGTCTACAACCATGAAAACCGGACAGTCCCCTTCACAGATCGCCCTACACCGGCCTTCACATGTCTTTGTAGGGTTAACCTGAGCCCTATGTTCCCTGGAGAATCCTGATTATTTAAGTTGTCTTTGCTCCTCTCTGTGTTCTAAAATCTGATATATATGCCTCCTCTACTCCACAGCTGTCTTCCGTCTCTCCAGGAGATGTCCTCAGACCAGACCCTGGACCGGACCCTGGACCGGACCTTGGGCCGGACCCTGGACCGGACCCTGGACCGGACCCTGGACCGGACCCTGGACCGGACCATGGGCCGGACCCTGGACCGGACCCCTGGACCGAACCATGGGCCGAACCTTGGAGCGGATGCACTCTGTTGGGGGGGACCGGCGAGACTCTGAGGGGGGCGAGAGACTGGACTCTCTTGGAGGAACAGTCTCCTCTGGATGGGACGACGAGGATCTCAGAGAGGCCGTGAGCTCGCTGGCTCGCCGCAACCGAATGGGCCAAGACTGTGGAGTAAGAGTCTTGAGTCCCAATCCACTGTATTCAGTAGAGCTGCATGACCAATTACAATATTTAGAAAACATTGGACTCGTTATGTGTTCTAAAAAACCCCACAATAAATGAAATTAATGAAGTAGCAGCTGTATGTTTTAAGGTTGTAAAACCACACACTTCATATTTTAACACAGAGATGCAAGTTAAAGTGGCGTCCGAAAGTAAGTGCACATTGTTGTAGCAGCATGTTATCATGAGAACATGTGAACAACACGTCAGGATGTGCGCATGAAAGCAGTTTTGGAAAGTCATTTTTAAAACCCTACATTGCACCTGTAATGATGATGTGGTCAGATCTATCTAGAAGCTATGATCAACAGCTATCTTTTTCCCTTAATAAACAAACCCATTTATACAGTAATGAAACGTTACTGAATAACGTAACATGCAGCTGAAAGCTGTGGGAGACCTGCCACACCGGGTCCTCCCTCTGCTTCACCCCTGTACCCGAGCCACAGCTGCAGTCCCACACCTGAGCTTATCAGCAACACTTCAGCTGCATTTAAACTGGGCCTCTCTGTCCTGCATCAAGCTGCTGTTTGTGCAGTAACCCTCCTCCTCCCCGTCACCACCTCTTCAGTAGAGAATCGTAATGTTATGGGCTCAGGTTTCTTTGCTGAGCCGAAGGGTCCAAGGACCTGGGGCACCCCTGCACCTGGGTTTCACGCTCATCTTCTCTTATTAAATCCCCTCCAGCAGACGTCATGCAGTGTTGCTGTTGGGTTCATATCAGCACGTCCTCATGCATCTGAGGGTTTAAAGTCTCCTTTGCAGCTACAATATTTTCATGCCAGCTTGACATAAATATCATTCTAATGCATCTTTGTCTTAAGTCCAGAACCAGATATAATACAATACTGTGGTAATACTGTCATACGTGACACATACTACCCGTACGTGTTGTGTTTCAGCTGCAGGACATGGACAGCGGACCGTTCGAGGACCACAGCTCCGAGTCCACGTTCAGAGACTCTCGGTCCCAGTCCCAGGACTCTCCCCCAGACCTGCCTTCAGACCTGCCCCTGGACCTGCCCCGGCCCACGTGCTTCCGCTCACGTTCCCACAGTTACCTCAGAGCCATCCAGGCCGGCTGCTCCCAGGACGACGACTCGCTGTCACTGGACTCCACGTCGCCACCCCCCACGGAGAGCAGCGTCCGCACCTACAGCACAGGTGAGACTCCACACAACAGATAGGAACAGGGGAGACAGTCATGCATTTACATTTTTGGCCATATTGTTGGAGATTATGAATGATGACACAAAGACTTTTTGTAGAAACTCTTCTTCTGATCCTGATTAGAGGTTTTCATCCCCAGTTCTAAATTGCGTGTATTTTTATGTTTATTATTGTCACATACATATTATATGCAGTGAAATTCCCCTGTCATTCACTCTGGTCTCACTCTGGTCCTTCTGGTCTCTCACTGGTCTCTCTCTGCTCTCTCACTGGTCTCTATCTAGTCTCTCCCTCTCTCTCTGTGTTGTGCATTACCCACAACACACTGCCGGATCTGTCCTTATCCCACGGGTATTGACCAAATAGTCTCCAACAGTACCATTCTGTTGGCCACTCACACGTTTATGTTAATTATTGTCTATTTTAAGTTCCTCATTATGTTTTGTTTTGTTTTATTAGATTTCTTTCTGTTTTTTCATGTTTTTCAATCCATTTCACCCTTCACTCCTCACTTTGCTCCTGGTTCAAACTCTCACACCAGACGAGGTGTCGGCTCAGTGGGCCCAGTGGAAGCAGCAGTTCGGCTCTTACCTCAGAGCCACAGGTTTAGACAAGAGCTCCCAAAGAGAAGCAGCTGGAGGCTTTACTGCAGAGACTGGACCTGCACCGGCCCCCAGCCAGGAGCCCTGCCCGACCCCCCACCAGGGCCTCCACCAGGGCCTCTGCTAACAGCAACAAGAGCTCAGTAGTAGTCTCCGGATCACACATGAGGTACTGTGCAAAATTCAAACTAAGAGGAGATGTATGGAGAGATGTGAGATGAAATCTCAATCCCCTTGGGTCTGGACACTGGTGGGTGAAAGTCAATGGACCCAGCACAGATAATGCTGGGGGGAGAATCAGAAGGGGGTTCAAGTGCCAGAAGTTAACTTGACACCTTAACTAAACTGCACTGTCTACATTTTGGTCTTTTTGGTCTCCGGTCTCTCACTCTGATCTCTCTCTGGTCCTTCTCTCTCTCGTCTCTCTCTGGTCTCTCTGGTCTTCAGTGTTGGATTGTCGCAAAGACCAATCCGACAATGATGTTGATGTTTTTCTCTTTCCTCAGTTTCCACCTGCGTCTCCACCTCTAAGCCGCCCGCCCCCCGTGCCCCCCCGCACCACATCCAAACCCTACATCTCCGTCACAGTCCAAAGCAGCACCGAGTCAGCCCTAGGACACCTACCTGGACGAGTGCCGCAGGTCCGAACTCTCCCACCATCACCCCCATGTGGACGACAGTCGGAGGTCCGAACTCTCCCACCATCACCCCCATGTGGACGACAATCGGAGGTCCGAACTCTCCCCCACCATCACCCCCATGCTGATGATAGCCGGAGGTCCGAGGTCTCCCATCATCACCCCCACGTGGACGACAGTCGGAGGTCCGAGCTCTCCCATCATCACCCCCATGTGGACGACAGTCGGAGGTCCGAGCTCTCGCACCATCACCCCCATGTGGACGACAATCGGAGGTCCGAACTCTCCCCACCATCACCCCCATGCTGATGATAGCCGGAGGTCCGAGGGTCTCAACCCATCATCACCCCCACGTGGACGACAGTCGGAGGTCCGAGCTCTCGCCCATCATCACCCCCACGTGGACGACAGTCGGGAGGTCCTAGCTCTCCCATCATCACCCCCATGTGGATGAGTGCCGGGGCGCGCCCCTGGTGTCCCACCAGTCCAGCCAAGCTCACAGCAACTCGTCCGACAGCCTGGATAGCACGCGAGCTAACAGCCTGGCACTGGGCATCAGAGGCCTCCACCAATCACAAAGCCACTGCACGACACACACACAGGTGAGGGGGAAGAATTATAGACTGTATAGAGATGACAAATGCTAAAACCCGCTAGTTCAGTGCTTCTCAATTATTTTCTGCCAGCCCCCCCCCCCTTAGGTATAAGAAAACGTTTTTCAACCCACCCCCCCCCCACCTCCTCCTTACATCTTAAGATCGGGCTTCATAATCCATTCAGACCCAAAAAGACAAATAAAGACTTACAAGGCTCTTTCTTAAAGGTATAAAGGATGGATTTTTCTTCTTTGAATTCACTGCAAAGCGGCGCAGTTGCATCAGGGTCGGAACGTTGGGCCACCATGGAATCCCGTTTGAGGACGTACACCAAAATGAACCATGTTCCCAGATCCATGTGCTATTACACTTTATTCAAGTACTGCAAAAAAAAAACATGTTTCCCCAGGATCACACGTCTGGCATCGATCGCACCGGGGGCGCGCCCCACTATTTGATAAGCACTGAGCTGGCTCAATGAATTAAGTTTGGCTCCAACTCGCTCCTGGCTCCTATTGACTTACATGTAAACTTGTGAGTAAACTCCTCTAGCTCAGGGACCGTTTGTGCCACAGTCACCATTTCGGGCTTAAGAATCTGTGGCTTGGCGCTTTTTGTGATCCTGGTGTTTATATTGTAATATTGTCTTTGTATATCTAGATATGAGCCATTTACGGATTGATCAATCAGATTCCTTCATTTCCGGGTGAAAGTTGACATAGGGAATTTGGGTCCAGCCAGTTTTATGTTCAAAATGGCTTCTTCCTCATTAAGGGCATCACTGCAGTGATGTCACACTTGGTCACTAATATACGGCCTATGGGACTGACCGAGTGTGACGACAACCTAGTATTATTACTTATTTTGGAAGAAGCCGATTCAAGCTAACTTGAACAGGCTGTTAGAGTGGGAATGTGGAGCCAAACTTATGGAGGAGCAACCAATAGGCCAATCGGGAGCTTCGCATAGGGCTGTGTGTTTAATTTTCATCGGTTTGCTTATTTGTGAATTTATTTACAGATGTTGCAACGTTTCAGCAGCTCATATAAATTAATAAGTGCCTAGCATCGCAGGCAAGGTGCAACATTCAACATTTATGTACAAAAACTCTTTACAAACATATTATCTTCCATCCTGCTTCTGTCATTTTCAGAGCATGAAACCTCTTCCTTAAGTAACATTGTCCCTTTTTCCTAGAGATCCTCTAACCCAAAGAGAAACTAACGAAGCCATCGCCCCCCGAGCCCACTGCACCACCGCGACGAACGACTGTGAGAGTGACACATCAGCAGCTAACAGCACGACTAAAGCTAACGGCACGTTAACAGGAGCAGCTAAAACTAACGCCATGCTATCCCCCGAGGAGCCACAGGAAGCACCGGCTCCGAGGAGAAAACTGTCCTCCATCGGAATCCAGGTGAGAGCAGAGAGGGATATGTGTGTTCCAATCATAGACTGTAAACAGATGGACAATGCTAACCTGCTACCTCCAGAAAGCACAATAAAGAAGTGCTTGCTCTGACTCCTGTTGACTTACCTTGAAAAGTAAACTCCTTGAGGTCAGTAATTGTTTGTGACACCCTAACCCATTTGCGGGGAAATGCATTTGGCATTTGACACGTCTGCCAAATGCCAAATGAGAATATAAGGAAATTGGCTCCAGCTTGCTCATGCTCAAATCGGTCTCTTCCGCATTAAAGGTGCCATATTTTGCTTTTCTTTATTTTTCACTGCCCGTCCCGATGCTCATGTGTGATAATAATTTGGGCGATACACCACAGAAAACTAAAGACTGTGAACCCGCCTCCCCTTTCCTGCACGGTGACGTAGCCTCTCGCTAAGTTCGAGGTAAACAAATCAGTGAAAGCTACTTGTACAGCTTTTACTGTTAGTCATTTCAGACCTATGAATAAACTTTATCCAACAATGGCAATCTGTCAAATAGCGCCCTATGTCCTTGATCCAGAATCAGACCCTAATTATTTAGTTCACAGTGACACACGGCGAGTTAGTTTCATTGTACTCACCGAGGCTCCTGTTAGCTTCTTTTATGTTGGAAACAACACCATGTTTCCAGATCAGCTTTTGAGTATGTCCCGTTTCAAGGTAAATGTAGTTCTGGAACAGTCTTTGGTGGTCTCACCGTCACTCGCAAAGAAACATCTGCGAGTTTTGTAGCAGATTTTTGACTCACGGATTTTGCGAGGACTCGGAGAGAGGCTGTAGCTGACCTGATTCGCGGAGTCAGTTTCTCCCCGCTGTCAATCACCTCATGGAGACGGGCTTTTGACGTCACAGATTGTACCACGTCACGATTTGAAACTGCTCGTTTCTGAGCCTCTCAAGAATGAAAGAGAAAGATTGCTCTTTAACTTGACAAGCTTGACGGAATCAATGAAAAAACTACTCTGCACTGTAATCATGTTTAAACCAGAGAAAAGTCAAAAAGCGTAATATGGGACCTTTAAGGCTAAGACTATGGTGATGTCACACGCTTAGTCCACTCCTTGTGGGGAAGTTGGTCTGTTGTTTTGTTGGATTCAACCAGGACAACCAACCTGGGACAGTTTGGGCTCAGTGTAAAGTGGCTGGGGTGCGGATCAGCTATGGTTCTGGACGGGGAAAGGTACTTCCGGTGGTGGAGAGGTCTTCGGTTTGAAAAGAGGCTTGCATCAAGAAGATTCCTGTCCTTATCATTGATCAAGAACCGGTGGATTTTTCAGGAGCAGCTGCTGTTCCACCGCTGATTACGAGGATTTTGGATTAATTAAAAGGATTCATTCCGTACTGCTGCTTTCTTTACTGCTCCTTTCTCGTCCCTGCTCTTTAAAGTTGACCTCAACAGAAGGTCAATAATAAGGAGCAGAGAGGATAAGGAAGGACAAAGGGCAAGGTATTTTGCCATTTTTGGACGGGGGGGAAGTGTTATGAAAGGGGAAGCTTAATCCAAACCCTTTCTCTGCTACAGGTGGACTGTTTCCCAGAAGTCTCTAGCCCCGCACCCCGAGAGGACACGCCCCCTCTGAGCCGCTTTACGTCCATCGGGGTGCAGGTGGAGGATGGCTGGCAGTAAGTGTGTGTGCTCCGCTAATACAAATATCATACTGCAGCTTTTGGGCCAAATCACTTGTTTAATAGAAATTTCAGCGATCACAACCATCCCTAGTCTCTGCTCACTGGTCTTTCTTTCTGGTCTCTCTCTCTGGTCTCTTTCTCTAGTTTCTCACTCTGGTCTCTTTCTCTGGTCTCTTTCTCCAGTCTCTCTCTCTGGCCTCTCTTGCTGGTTTCTCTCTCTAGTCTCCCTCACCAGTCTCTCAAGTCTCTCACTCTGGCCTCTCTCTCTCTCTTGCACTTAAAGTGGTTCTCACCCCCGCTCCTCGGAGCTTACGTCACTCACATTTCCTGTTCAAATCTTCCTCTAAATGGGCGTAGCCTGGAGGACTGAAGGGGGCGTGAACGAGACTGGGCCGTTTATATTGCTCTGGGCGGGGGGCTGCTGACGTCAGGTCCAACTTGCAGACGTCAGGTCTAACTTCTGTGCCAGTGTTGGCGCCAGATTCAAAATTCAAATGTAGTAATACAGGTCGCCAGCAGATGGCGCCTCACAGACGGTTTTAGGCAGAAAGTTTAACTTTCAACTAATTTGCACTAAAGTGACAAGATTATGACCAGGATATGTACACAACACTATTGGACACTCATTTATACCGTTTATCAGCAAAAAAAAGTGGATTTGAGGGCGAGTTGTCCTTTAACTGGTCCCTAGTTTATCACAGGTTCGTTTAAAAAAAAATAACCCACAATAAGTTAAATGTTTCAAGGCTGTAAAGTGCAATCACAGAGATATCAAACCTGTTGGTTCTAAGTCTGAGCGCTGCTGCAGCTGTCAAAAGCCGTGCATACTCTGTAAAATACAGCTGCAGAGGTTACAGCATTGAAGGGAAGGAGCAGGACTGAGGGCTACCGGACGACCAGAGAGAGACCACAGAGAGACCAGAGAGTGACCAGATATTGGCCATAGAGAAATCAGAGAGAGAGAACAGACTGAGACCAGAGAGACTTTAAAGGAATAGTTCACCATTTTTACATACTGACATATGTTCTTACCTTACCTTAGACTAGTTAATATGTACCTGTCTGGTCTTAGTCCGTGCGCTCTGTCATCTGTCAGAGCGCACGGACTAAGACCAGACAGGTACATATTAACTAGTCTAAGGTAAGGTAAGAACATATGTCAGTATGTAAAAACGGTGAACTATTGCTTTAAGCAAAGGTACCTGACGGCGCATGGGAAGCATGCTGTAAGAAAAGTACGCACAAAGATTTGCAAAACTACGAAAGGTGGACTGCATTATAGAGAGGGACCACTTTAACCTGTTTTTAGCTCCATCCACGTTGTTAGTACAGACTGGTCCCCTCCCCTTTATGATGTCACAAACCCTAGGATGACGTCCAGTTGTTGATTTCAGGTTAAGTCGCTCCAAACAGCGTCGCCTCCAAACAGGAAGCTGACTCTGATACTCAGGAAATGCCCCCTTCATACAAGCCCCAATCAAAATCCTCTGAGAAGAAAGTGATGGTCAGTTGCGGCAGCCAATCAGTGGCTCAGGACTCTCTGGACCAGGATGCGCCAGCCCCCTTGAGCCCGCCAATCATGCGACAGATTCTCAACAGGTGAAAGGTTTTTTCTTTTCTTTTAGTAGTATCTCGTGCTGAGCTGGTGCTCTGTGACTTAGGTGGCATCTCTGACTGCCACCCCTCCGACCCAGAAATGGATTAAGGGGAAGAAAATGGTTGAATGGATAGTATCTTTTTAAACGCATGAGGTTCGTACAAAAGACAAAAACAACTTATAAACTACAAAGGGGTTGAACTTGGACGAATCATTCGCTTATTTGATTCCAACCCCCACACATACAAACATACATACACACACTTCAGTAACTGGTACCATATCCTAGCAACCTACCCACAACAAACCAGTATCCAGGGAAATTCCTTTATAACCATGGCTTGCAGCCGCACTCTGGCGAATCACTGTCAATTAGAACTGTAGGACCAGCTTGGTCTGGATAGAACCAGGGCCAAGAAGGACTAAAGATGGACCTGGCACTGGTTAAACAGGACTAGTGGAAATACTCCCGATTGGGGGAGAGTAGAGTAGAGCCAAGTAGGGCTGTTGGAAACTTTTGATAGATAGAAGTTTGAGTGCTAAGGCAATCTATGAGACGTCATGGGCCAAAGACCTCAGCAACTTCAGGCTGGTGGCTTTGACATCCCACTGCATGAAGACACTGGAGAAACTAGTCCTGGGACATCTCCCCTCCACTCTGACCTCAGCGATGGACCCGCTGCAGTTTGCCTACCTAGAGAAACCCGTGAGGAAACCTGTGAGGATTCTGTTCTTCAACTTCTCCAGCGCCTTCTACACCATCCAGCCGCAGCTTCTCAGGGACAAGCTGGAGACAGCTGGAGTGGACTACACCCTGTCTGAGTGGATCCCGGGACTACTATATGCTGTGGTATTTTGTCATCACATTTCAGGGGGGCTACACCTCATTGTTTACATTTCTTGTGCATTGAGTGAGTCATGTGACCTGTCATCACTGTGTATATACTGTATACAGGTGTGTAGCCTGCTGATGTCTGAGGAAGGGTAGTGACCCAAAACGTCACATTGTGTGATGAGAATTAAAATCTCTTGGGAGGAAAAGCTGTGCAGAGTCATCTCAATTTTTTTCATGGATCCTGGACTACCTCCAAGACAGACCCCAGTTTGTGAGAACCAGGGTCTGTGTCTGAGGTCCTGACCTGCGTCCTGACCCTTGTGTCCTACAGAAGTTCTCCGACGACTGCCATCATCAGACTCAGCTCCGAGGAGGATGACGCAGAGTACAGAGGAGTTATACAGGACTTTGTGGACTGGTGTCACGGTGCACGGAAGACCAATTTCCGCACGTCACTCTGCGGAAGCCCCAGTGAACTCCTCATCACTCTTACAAGCACCTGGGTGGAAGACTGGATTCATAACACAAAATTTCCGCTCTGGAGAGCAGACGTGAGAGACTTCTTTATGCCGGTTCCGCAGGTCCCCTGCTGCTGTCAACATCCAGAGAAGGACTAATGACACTCCAACATTAATACATGTCATGGGTGTTCATCGTTCTTGCAGAATATGCCACCACATGTTACTGTCACTTTACTGAGTCCCTGTGTCCATAACGAGCCTCATGCTGCTAATGTACAGATGTAAACATACTGCTGCTAATGTACAGATGTAAACATACTGCTGCTAATGTACAGATGTAAACATACTGCTGCTAATGTACAGATGTAAACATACTGCTGCTAATGTACAGATGTAAACATACTGTTGCTAATATGTACAGATGTAAACATACTGCTGCTAGCATATAACTACACTTAGCTTGCACTAGAATACACAGTACTTTATACTTGCCTCTTATCGCCAATTGTAAAAACTTATACACTTCTCTTTATTATTATTTTCAAGATAGAGATTTTATACTTTTATTGATGCTAGAGTTAGAGATTTTGTTTTATTTGAATTAGGATAGCTATTGTTCACTTGACTTGTGCCGTGTGCTCCTCTTTCCTACTATTCTATAACTTGTCATGCAATGATACAACACTGAAATTTCCCCACTGTGGGACAAATAAAGGATCTCTTAATCTTTAATCTTAAAATGGTCAGACTGATTATAACTTTATATAGATTCTTATGCTTTGTTAACATTACAAAGTTACTCATTCCACTGTCTGCATAGATCCACCACACGGAGCAGCTCAGACTCCTTCTCTGAGAGCTTAGACGCCAGTCTGGACCCGGCTCTGGACCCTTCCTGCCTGCCTCCTCCGGACCCGTGGCTGGACAGCGGGGTTTCTGGGGGGGGCGAGGAGGGTGAGGAGGGGGTGAACGTTTGTGTGCTGCAGGGACGGGACCACTGGTTCCTGAAGCTGCTGCAGGCTGAGGAGAGGCCGCATGCAGGGCTGGTGTGAGCAGATGGAGCAGGAGACCAAGGACCACCAGCTCTCAGAAACATGGGTACCAACTCCAGATACTTCTTTTCACAGTCAAACTCTGGGTATCTACTTTCACACGGTTTAGAAATGCAATCATGTATTTCATATGGATAGGTTTTTATGGCAGTTTCATTCAACGTTGTGGTAGTTTTGTGAGTTAAGCGGCTAAGGCAAAGTTATGAGACGTCACAGTGACCTTGAAATGGTCAGCCCGGTTATAAATAATGCCAGATTCTTATGCTTAAGAGGATCCTCCAAAGTTAACACACTGTTCCCTGTTGTCGCGGTGCAGTGTTGGCTAAAGTGCGCAGTGCGATGAGCAAGCAGCGCTCGGCTCCTCATGAAGCAGAAGTTCCAGCAGTTTGAGGGGACTGTGTGAGCAGAACCTGGTGAGTGACTTCTATCTCATCATGTTCTTCATTATTCTTATGTCTGAAAGTCCTGTTTATGGGGGGGGGGGGAGAGATTAGAAGGAGACTAGAGAGACCCAAAGAGAGAGACCAGGGAGGAGACCGGAGAGAGATCAGAGACGAGACCAGAGGGAGAGTTCAGGGTGAGACCAGAGAGAGACCAAAGAGAGAGACCAGAAAGAAGGACCGGAGAGAGATACCAGAGAGAGACCAATGGGAGACAAGAGAGCCAGAGACCTAAGAGAGGACCAGGGAGAGACCAGAGAGACACCAGAGAGAGACAAGGGAGAGACCAGGGGAGGAAAAAGCTCTTAATAGTTTTTCTGCTCAAATGAACTGCTCCTGTTCATGTGTAAATGAGCAAAAGAAACCATTAAAGTATGTTAGTCCTCTCTAACGTGTGTCCTTTGTGCCCAGGAACCCCTCTCCTCCCCCCGGCCCTCCCCCCAGGACCTGGCCGTGTCCTGGGACCTCCTGCAGGTCTCAATTGAGGACATCAGCCTGAAGTTTGATGAGCTCTCTACCACCTCAAGTCCAACGAGTGGCAAGCCACTTTGAGAGGAAGGTACTGCCCTCTGCTGGCAGGGGTAGGACAGCCGGCCCGCACCGGGCCCCTCTCCTCCCACCACCATCTAACCCCCCCTTAACACAAGGAGATGGAGACGGCCACATCTCCAGGCTCTGTGCTGTAGACCACACAGACCTCCACCAGCTCAAACTACAGTATACAGGCTCCCAGCTCTCACTATCGAGACTGAACAGAGAGAGATCAGAGAGAGAGACCAGGGAGATAACAGAGAGAGACCAGAGAGAGATCAGAGAGAGACCTGGGGGAACAGAGAGAGAGCAGAGAGAGCAAAATCAGAGCGAGAGCTGAGAGAGACAAGAGAGGGACCAAAGAGAGAGACCATGGTGTGTAAATTCCAGTGTTGCAGTGCTCAATACAAAGCAAAAAAAAAACAAACAGATGCTTCTCAACACAAGATAAACAAAGAGAACTAAAGTATGATCTGAGTAAGCTGTGTGGACGTCTGTGTCGTCCTCTGGAGGGACATGCATGGAACAGCAGCGCCCCTGTGGCCGCTGTGAGACATGCATGTGTCAGTATTTTACTTTACTGTACAATATTACTGTGTAGTAATACACTAATACTGTTAAAAAGATCTGAAACACGTTCTTCATTTGGAAGAAAAGCGTTGGATTTTTAAATTGATCAAAAATGATAGAAATAGCCTTAATTGTGTGTGCATGTGTGTGGTGTGTACGCTTTGTGTGCTTTTTGTACGTGTGTGCCTTTATCTGTGGGTGTGTGTGTGTGTTCTATGTGGCACTGTGAAAAGGTTCAACTCACTCTGTTGTTTCTTCTGAACATGTGGTGAATATTCCTTTTTCTTACTCTGCATCACAGACTTGAGAGCAGTGGTTCTCAAAGTGGGGGCCGTACCACTACTTTCTTCATACAATATTTCACCAGTTACGGTATTTGACACAAAACACTGATTAGAAAATTAGATTAAATTGCACCATAAACAATTTTCTTTTTCATTGCTTTTAAAACATTCGAGTTATAGCTGCATTACCTAACTTTATGTTTGTATTCATTACAAAAATTCAATCCATATCCATGCAGTGCATTGGGATATACGTCCTTTTGAAGAAAAAGTGGCGCAGGTTTTCATTTTATTTTAGATCGAGTTTTTGTGAAACAAGGAAGAGAATGTGTTTCGGGTCCAGATTGTGACCAATCACAGCGGACCACTGGCCCCCACTTTTTTGAGAAAAAACCACAGGTCTCTTGTTTGCATAGACAGCTGAGGTAAACAAGCGGCGGAGGGTAACCTGAAGCTTCCCGTGTCTTCGTTACCGGTTACTGCTTACACCGCGAAACAGCCATCCAAAAGAAAGTCTCGTTCCTCCGCGCTTCCCGGTTCTATCATTCTGAAGAAGATGTGCCAAGTCTGGGATCGCGTCTTTCATTCAGACAGAAGACATGTTTTATTGTCGATGGTAGAGACAGCACGAACAACACGAACAACAGAATGCAAGTGTATTATACAGAGCGGAGGCATGGAGACCTCCAATCAGCAGCTTCCACGGTGTGCTTGTAGCTTGGCCTTCAGATAGACACAACATGAAGTGGAAAAGTACAGGCTTCTGCACATTGATAGAATGATGAGTTTAACTTTAACAAAAGTTGCTTCAAAGTGTTATGAAATCTCACAATTCTATGGACACGTCATCCACGTTCAAATGTGCGATCCCTATTGTGAGACGTGAGCTCCATAAACAATTAGCACATGAGCGCAGACTGAGTGGGAGGGTGTAGTGGGGGGGGGCAAAAGCTCAGTGCGGGGAGGGCGAGCAGAGAGAGAGCGAGCCCAGCGCTCTCATTCGAAAATGTCTCAAAGTCAGTTAGTGTAACTTTAAAATGTTAGAAACCTGTCACAGAGAGACCAGAGAGAGACCAGTGAGAGACAAGAAAAATAGACCAGAGACCAAAGAGAGACCAGAGAGAAAGACCAGAGAGAGACCAGTGAGCAACCAGAGAGACGAGAGAGATATACCAGAAACCAGTGAGGGACCAGATAGAGACCAAAGAGAGATGCAGCATCAGTCTCATCAGAGCCGGAGTTGAACCTGCTCCTCTGGGTTGTGTCTTTGTGAACCCGTCTTTTCATTTCAGTCCAAACATTTTCAGCTGATTCAGGTGCGTTTATCTGAGCTCAACTTAAAACAGATTTATCACTTCAAATTACACTGTTCCTCCTCAAACACAGACCTGTAGATGTCTGTCGCTCCATCCACGCAGGTATCAGGAACCTCTGACGATTTCCCCCCACCCCTTCTGAAGTAATGCTTTATCAAACTCGAGAGAGGTCTCTCAATTATCTCTGGTTTTTCTCTAGTCTGAGAGAGAGACAAGAGACCAGAGTAAAGAGACCAGAGAGAGATCAGAGACCGGAGACAGAGACCAGAGAGAGATCAGAGACAAGAGACAGAGACCAGAGAGAGATCAGAGACAAGAGACAGAGACCAGAGACAGACCAGAGACAGACCAGAGAGAAAGACCAGAGAGAGACCAGAGACAGAGACCAGAGAGAAAGACCAGAGAGAGAAACCAGGGAGAGGGTGAGCAACACTAGATGAGAGAGTGCTGCTCGCCTTAAACAATATTTTATTGCGTATTTAACGCGTTTGTACATTTATTGACGCAGATTTATTTTTGTGGTTTTCTGTGTTTTCAAAATTAAAAACCAAATATGTGTTTCATACAGTTTTGAAGTTCAGCTCGCGACAAACGCACCTGAAATCATCATCTCTCCAGAATTTGAAAATGTTATTTTTTTGTTTGTTGTTTTCGTTGCTAAATGTTCAATGTTTTTTGTGATAAAATTTTTTTTTAAAAATGGAGGTGAGTTAACAGCATTGGGGCTGCACAAGTGAAAAGTGTCCTCCAATAGTCTAACGAGAACTCTGACTGAGGAGAAACCACAGAGCGTACTGACCGAGTATCACCATAGTGTTAGCTTTAATGCAGAAGATGCCATGAACATAAGCTAGCTCTTTCCTTTAATGGGCTTTTTTTTCCATAACAGGGGCAGATGTGTTGTTAAGACAGTTGCTAAGGCAAACTGGATTTTCCCCTGTGAATGAAGGCTTCTGATTGATCGACCATATATGGATTTAAAAAAGACAATATCACAATATAAACACTAGGATCACAGAGAGCGATAAACATAAACAAGAAAAGTACACAGTCCCATTATCATTTAACGCTAAAAGTAACGTGTAATATTTCTCCTCCAACAATTCCTCTTTTTAATTTTTCTTTTCTTTCTTTATTTTTGTTTATTATTTTAGATGGAGTTCCTGCTTCTGTCCTTTAGAAAAAAGAAAGAAAAAAAAGTTTAGTATCTCCTATGTGAATAGATGGACCATGATCACCCGCTTGTTCATTGAAGCCCAATAGGGAAGTGCTCATGGACAAAGTTTTCTCCAACTCGCTCTGGCTTCTTACATTGAAAAGTGTTCTTGGTGTTTATATCACAATATTGTCTTTGTAATATTAACCACAAATTGTGGCGTCACTAGCAGTGAAAGCCAGATCCCCTCAGACCTCTGAAGCTAAGCAGGGCAGGACCTGGTTAGCACTATAATGGGAGACCACTGGAAGCACCAGGTGCCACAGTGGGGTGGCTGCGGCTGTAAAGTAGTTTATCACCACTATCAATGGAGTTAATGAATACTGCTGTGAAGCATCTTTGAGCGTCCAGAAAATGAACCGTTATTACATGACTATTTATAAGATTAAGAGACCCTTTTTTTGTCTCACAGTGGGGAAATTTCAGTGTTGCATCACAAGTTACAGAACAGTAGGAATGAGGAGCACACGATTAATGAACAATAACTGTACTAAATCAAATATTATAAAAGCTTTAACTCTAGCATAATAAAGAAGTATAAAATCTCTACCTTTGGCATAATAAGAAGCAAGTATAAAGTACTGTGTATTCTACAACTACACATTGCAAGATATTGCACCGAGGCATGACATGAGGTCATGTCGGCAGTGTTCGTTAGTCCTCATTGTTTGTTGTACGGTCTGACAGCAGCAGGAAGGAAGGACCTGCGGAACCTCTCCTTCACACAGCAAGGATGAATTAGTCTGTCACTGAAGCTGCTCTCCAGAGCAGAGAGAGTGTCCTGCAGGGGGTGACAGTTATGGTCCAGCATAGATGTTAGTTTGTCCAGGACCCTCCTGTCCCCCACCAGCTGCACTGTGTCCAGGGAACAGCCAGGACTGAGCTGGACTTCCTGATGACCTTGTCCAGCTTCTTTCTCTCTGTGATGCTGCTGTTCCAGCAGACCAGACCGTGCATGAGGCTGATGCCACCACAGAGTCATAGAAGGTCTTTAGGAGTGGCCCCTGCACTTCAAAAGACCTGAGCCTCCTCAGCAGGTAGAGCCGGCTCTGCCCCTTCTTGAAGAGTACGTTATGTTATGAGTCCAGTCCAGTTTGTGGTTCAGATGAACACCCAGGTACTTGTAAGAGTCCACTATTTCAATGTCCCTTCTCTGGATGTTCACTGAGGCTGGAGCTATTAAGGGTTGTTCTCCATTAAAGCTAACACTAAGGTGATGTCACTCTCGCTCAGTCCACTCGGGATAAATGCTCTTTGGCCTCATCTCTGACCTTGGTGGTCTCGTGTAACCTCATGTTTGTTGGTGTCTGTGTGTCTCTCCTCTGTCCCCTCACGTCTCTCTCATTCACCCGCTGATCCCCAGGGCCACCAGCAGAGGGGGCCATGTGTGCTGAAGAAGCCCACTGAGGCTCGCCCGTCTCTGGGTCGGGAGAAGAGCGTGGACTGCCCCCCCTCCGGAGCCTCTAGGGCCCACGCTCACAAGGGTGTCCCCAGAAAGGGCGCATCCTTCAGACAGAACTCAGCCACGGAGAGTACGGACAGTTTGGAGCTGTACGTGCCCGAAGCGCAGACGCGACTCTGAGCGCAGGGAGAACATGCAACAGACTCAGAAGGCGGGATGGATACGGGTCACAGGATGGATCTGAGATGCAGGACGCACCAAGGGCTCTGTGTTTCGCCCACAGAGAAGATAATTATAATTTCATTTTTATTGTTTTTCTTTACACAGTCAGGTCATGGTACAATACAGCTGAAACTATAGGCTCTTCACATCAACTCTAACCAGGACAGAGTTGATGTGAAGAGCCTATAGTTTTAGCTTTCTTGGTAACCGTGGTAAAAGTCAAATTACAGTCTTAGTCTAGACTCTAGAGCTAACAACTCACATTAAACTAAAACTGTCCCAAAGTTACATATCTTCCTTGTTCAGCACATTTGGTCGCTCGCTCATCTCTCTCTGGTGTCTCCCTCTGGTGTCTCCCTCTGGTGTCTCTCAAGTCCCTCTTATTGATCTGTCTCTCTGATCTCTCTCTAGTCTCGTTCTCTCCCTGGTGTCTGGTCCCTCTCGTTGGTCTCTTGCTCTCGTCTTTCTCTAATCTCTCTCTGGTCTCTCTCTCTGTTCCCTCTCTGGTCTCTCTCTCTGTTCCCTCTCTCTGGCCTCTCTCTCTGGTCTCTCTCTGGTCTCTCTCTCTGTTCCCTCTCTCTGGCCTCTCTCTCTGGTCTCTCTCTGGTCTCTCTCTCTGGTCTCTCTCTGGTCTCTCTCTGTTCCCTCTCTCGGTTCCCTCTCTCTGGTCTCTCTCTCTGGTCTCTCTCTGGTCTCTCTCTGTTCCCTCTCTCGGTTCCCTCTCTCTGGCCTCTCTCGCTGGTCTCTCTCTGGCCTCTCTCTCTGGTCTCTCTCTGGTCTCTCTCTCTGCTCTCTCTCTCTGTTCCCTCTCTCTGGTCTCTCTCTCTCTGGTCTCTCTCTCTGGTCTCTCTCTGGTCTCTCTCTCTGGTCTCTCTCTGGTCTCTCTCTCTCTCTCTGGTCTCTCTCTCTGGTCTCTCTCTCTGTTCCCTCTCTCTCTGTTCCCTCTCTCTGGTCTCTCTCTGTTCCCTCTCTCTGGTCTCTCTCTCTGGCGTCTCTCTCTCTCTGTTCCCTCTCTCTGGTCTCTCTCTGGCCTCTCTCTGGTCTCTATATCTGGCCTCTCTCTCTGGTCTCTCTCTCTAGCCTCTCTCTCTCTCTGTTCCCTCTCTCTGGCCTCTCTTTCTGGTCTCGCTTGTCTCTATCCGTCTCATTATTTCCTCATAAAGGTGTCTAGAAGTGGTGGCATTATTAAAAAACACATGCATGAGGTTGGCCTGGACGATATCAGTCACGTGAACTCTTCGTGTTGCTTTCCGCTGCCGTCGGGGACATTTTGAGACTTTGTTCCGACAGGAGCTGAGGCCTGAGCTCCAGTTGAAGAAAGAGACATTTTCAAATAATAAACTTTCCAATAAGAATAAAACGAGAGAGGACTCGTGACGCAGACGTTCCTGGTCGAATGCTGCCAAAGTTTCGCTGCAAATGTGACAAAATGCCTGAGGTTTATCGGCTTCGTTCAGAATCTAGATCACTATTATTACAGAACACACCAAGATATTCAACATGATGTATTTGTGAGCAAGAAAACAGTGGTTTAAGCATGGATTATTGTGGCTTTTATGTAACAAGGGTAGTTCCACTGAGATTTTAGAATATATTTTTCTGGTCTCATATAACAATCCATAAAGTCTTTTAAAAAATTGTAAGAAAGAACCCTGTGAGTCACTATTTGACTCGTTGGGCTGAGTAGAGTCGTCCTCTGGTCTCTCTCTATCACTATCTCCCTGGTCTTTCTTTCTCTCTGGTTTCCCTCTCTCTCTATTCTCTCTGCGCTCTCTCTCTTGTCTCTCACTTTAATCTTTTTCTATCTGAAAAAGCGGATGAAAAAGTACATGCAGTGAAAGTCCCCAGCTTTTAAAAAGTATATAGCTTTTATTTTTAGTACGAGCCCAAACCGATCTAACTTAAACATATTTTGCACAAACTGAAAAATCCAGATTCTGAACGGAACCCTTTTCTCTTGCGTTTTTTTCCCCCGTTTTGCGGCGTATGTATTAATAACAATAATAAGTCTGTGAATATATCTTTTAGCGTCTTTAAAGACTGTTTTTCTGCTAAATGTTACAAACCCGAGCGGCTGCCTTTTTGTAGCTTCGCACACGGCGCCGCTCGGGTTCGTGGGGCGGGGCCTGCACTGCACACACGGGCTGTTTCCAAACACAGCCACGAAATCAGTCTGTTTTTATTATTTGTAGCGTTCAGAACCATACAGCTTAAGACCTTTTTAATTAACGACGGAATCACAAGTTGAATTGAATAATTTTTTAGCCTGAAAAGCGCAGTGGCTGGTGCGCACCTGAGCGTCAGTGCGGACCCCCCGAGCTGGTCTTCCTTTAGTTGAGTTGATTTCTCTTTAATCAGGGAAAGAGCGAGGAGCAGGAGAGCAGAGAATATACAGAAAATATTTAAATATAAATGATTTTACACTGCGACTGGAGCCATGTGTTGAATAAAGCATCAGCCAAAACATTATGATCATTGTCTCTGTCTCTGTTTGTGTTTTCTCTCACAAGTGACTGTGTTGAAACCCGGGACCACATGAAGAAGGGTTGGCGTGTTGTTTGGACCAGTGTCAGCTTTTCACATCAGGGAGAAAGGAATGTGTCAAAATGAAAGGACAAAACAAACTTCAGACTTTCAAAATAAGTCTTCTAAAGCCATAGCGCAGTCATGTTGTCATCGTTTATTTACAGTCTATGTGTGGGAAAAAATACTTCAAATGTAACTGAGCTTTTTAGTCCAACAAACCTGAGGTCCATAAGGTTTTTTTTAAGCCTACTTTTATGATTTATAGTAAGATATGTTTTACAGTTAAAAATCATGACAAGGTCAAAAGGTCAAAGCACGTGGGTTAGGGATGAACCAGACAGAGACGGATCGTGGTGCGCCAAACTCTGGAAGTTTATTTAAGTTTCTCTCAAGTTCCACTGGTTTACTCTGTTTCTTTCTCTCAGACAGAATAAAGGCAGTACACAGTTTATATAGTCATTGTCACGTCACACATCGAAAGACATACGTGTCACAAAGAGACAGTCACATCATAGTCATAACATGGAGTCTGTCATGCCCTGCTGCTCGCCCCCTCCCCTCCTGTGCATGGGTGGAGTTCTGGAGCTGCTCACCTGCTCGTGATTGGCAATCATCATCCTACTTCAGCTGTGCTCTGCTGCCAGTTGATGCCAGATTGTCCGTCATTGATGGTGATTTTTCCAGTCGGCCTTGTGAGCTTAAATCTGTTTTTTGTGAGCAACTACTTACCTGTTTTTTCCCTGTGTTTCCAGTCCGCCGATCTGCTCCAGTCTCTGCCTGCCTTTTTGTTCCCGTTTTGTCCCAGACCCTGCCAGCCTCCGTTACATTTTATTTTTTGTAATAAATACATTTTTGGAAAGTCTTGCGTCTCCTCTGGGTCCCCTCCATTACGCCATGACAGAGTCCTTGTAGAGTCCTTGTACAGTCCTGCACGTAGGCCATATTGCTATCTAATACTAACACCCTCCCCTTTGATCACATAATCACATGTGATCACTCAAATTGATCAATCAATAAAGTGAGAAAAGAAAAAAAAAAATCTTAAAAAAACTTTAAAAAATTATTAAAACTCATAATCATCCAAATCAATATCAGTGGATTTTATCCTCTATCCTGGGAAAAAACAAACAAACAAAAATAAAGTAAATAAACAAACAAAAAAACTAAAACAAATCAAAAATAAAAACAAACAAAAATACTATTGGACACACAAGAACTCAGCTGAGTCTCAATTTAGAAGCTAATTTCACTTTTATTACTCTATACTTTTATTCTAATGCTAATTGTTTACACTTCACTTATTTCACTGTATTATCACTTTTTCTAATCTTAGACTGTGTACTTTACTCTCTATTCACTATAGTTTAAAACTATTCTAATCTATTTACAAATATGTTTGTATATTTGCTTCTATTGAGCCATATTCTTAAACATACATTTTAATCTAATAAAACTCTCTGTGGTTTTATACTCTCATTATCAGTGGGTTATTGTTAGTGGGATTTTGCTCTGTCTATTCTACATTCTCAGGAATAAAACTGAACACAGTAAGGCAAATGGTCAACATTTACACTTCTATAGTGGTCAGTTTTCCAAATACATTTGTTGAACCAGGAAGTGCTGTCACTTCCTCCTCTCGAGCAGTTTGGGATGAATGTACATCATTAATCAAATTAGTATTATCCTTACAAGAGCTAATCTATTTTAGCAGGTTTGGGGTTGGGGTCAGTTATTCTACAATGGTGTTTGATTCTAATCTGTGCTGATGAATCAACAACTTTTAAACTTCTCAAAGATATCTAAATATCTACTATTTTGTTTTTGGGCTACACACAAATACATCAAAATGCTTTTGAATGCTTTTGAATCTCTGTTGGTTCTAATCTATCTCATTGATCTAGGCATTAATCTAGACTACACTCATATGAGCTTTTTGCATTGTCAACATTCACTCATGTTTGAACACAAGTGAATTTGGCAGTATCTAATAAAACTGTACATACAACTGTAATTAACTTGATTTACTTCTGAAGTAAATGTTTGTGAAATGGTCCCTTTACCATTCAAATATTAGCACTGGCTAGAAATAATCTCTATTTTTGAAAGCATCTATGGTTGATGCATTTATCTATTCCTATTTTTACTCTATTTTTTAACTCCAAAGCTCGGTTGCAGCTTGAGCAAAGGCATATTCCTAGTTTGTGACTTCTGTCACTTTTAATGGCTGTAACATGATTCTGATTCTAATATTTTAGCTGCTCTATCAAAAGGATAACATTGTATGGTACTATATTAACTCTAAGTTGAAATGTGTTTATGAACAACAAAGGAAGGACAATTCTACTTTTTTACTACTATTTAACATCTACTAAAACGCTACAATACTCATACTTTATCATTTTCAAAGTTTTTGTCTGTCAGATGTCTGAATA